GACAATTGAACACATTGTACGTGAAAAAAAGGCGACTGGGATTGTATAAGCTCCAAAAGTACATTGTCGTGGTAGAAAAAAAATTGAATTCGACGAGTACCAGAAAAATTTTGTACGCTATACCATTCGTTCTTTCTTTTTTGAGAATAAAGCGCCAACCCTCGAAACCATTAGGATAAATGTAATGGATAATGATCTCATTCCAAAAATAAGCAAAGAGAAGTTAAGGAAAATAATAAAAGAAGATTTAAAATTTATATATGCCAAACGATACCGTAAATCTGTCTTAATAGAGAAGATATAGTATCATGGCGACGGAGATATCTTCGCTCTATTAGAGAAATGCGTTCTGCTCACAAAAAGATTTATTATCTGGACGAAACGTGGGTGAATGCTGGTCACACAGTATCTAAGATCTGGTAAGATACTACTGTAACTAGTTATCGTCAAGCATTTGTGGACGGTTTATCAACAGGGTTACGCAGACCAACGGTAAAGGGCAACAACTAATTGTTGCCCATATAGGTAGCGAGAGTGGCTTTTTAGACGATAGTGCACTAATTTTTCTAGCAAAAAAATACGGGGGATTATTACGAAGACATGGACGCCCAACGCTTTGAAGGATGGTTTGAATTCCTTCTTTCACGAGTCGAGCTAAATTCGCTTCTTATCACAGCCGATTAGTAGAACAGCTGCCAACTATGACCACCAGAAAAGCAGACATGCAGAGTTGGTTAGTACAAAAAGGAATTCCATTTTCCGAGGACATGGTTAAGGCCGAGCTTATGAGTGTCATTTAACAGCATCGTGACAGATATCGTCAGCATGTGGTGGATACAATAGCTCGTAATGAAGGCATCACCATTTTGAGGCTTCCTTTACCATTGCGAGCTAAACCCGATAGAATTAATCTGGGCTCAAATTAAGGGTTACATAGCTCGTGAAAACGTGACATATAAAATTTCTGATGTCCAACGTTTATTAGAACTCGCAATGGAACGGATACGGAAAGAAGATTGGGCTAATGTTGTAGCCCATGTGATCAAGGAAGAAGAAAAAAAGTGGAGATTAGACGGGATGGTAGACACTGTTTTCGACCAAATAATAATAGATTTAAGTGTGAATGGGAATTCCTCTTCGGACGAGTCAATGGATTCTGAAACTTCACAAGCATAACATAGATAATTATTTCTTTGATTGGTAGTTCTCTTTCTATATAAAAGGAACATAATAATTATTTTGTAGATTTTTCTATTTTTTTGAAGTACTGTATCAGGCATAATAAGAAAATGTAATCAGTTTTACCATTGACACCAGGTAGCGCCACCTACTATAACAATTTTTACGTAATTACCTATGTGTTTAAATGAATAAAAATATTATTTTCGTACGCCTCTGCAGAGTTGTTAAGAGGATTACCCATTAGTCACTTCAAGTGCGACGTTGATAATGAATTACCTTCAATTGAAAATTGTTACAGTATATCACAGTAGATTTTGCGTAGTGAGTTATAACCACTACTCCAAGAAGCTCCAAGAAGTTAGAGTGATATATTAGTTATTTGAGTTTCTAATCACTCAATTTTTGTTATTTAATGACGAACTTTTGAAATATATTAATTTTTTCGACACATAACAAATTTCTAGTAGGGTACACTCGTTTTCACTTTACGAGTCCATGTTTTTATTCTTGTTTTTCGTTGAAAACTATATACTTTGAAACGAAGTGTCAATTCAATGATTGAGTTTGAGAACATATTTTGAAATAGAAAATTCTCAAAGGTTCACTTGCGAATGAAAATAATCAAACGACAACTATGGCAAGCGCCAAACGTGATGGCGAGCGATCGTGTAGGTATAGACTCTAGAATATGAATTGAAGAAGAGGAAGGAGCTAACTTCAGGGTGCCCTGATGATGAATTTAATAAAGTCCGAAACGTTGTCATAAAACTAAATTGTTTATCTACGAATATTTTTTATCCCTTTCCCAACCAATCGAAAAACCCGCATTTGAAAATATTTTGGATCACCAAACCAGGCAAAGTTAATATAACTATACATTTGTCGGGAATTAAACTAGAGGTAGTGAGTTACGAATCTGGCCAATTATGATTGATTCAAAGCCTACTAACTCAATAAGAAACGGAGAAATAATAATTTATTTTTCAATAGCTATCATAGCTGTCATAATACTCGTAATTCAAAAGAACTGCCGATACTTGATGAAAATCCATATAAAAAAACAATAGCTTCTTCAAGCATAACTAAGCATAAGCTTGAAGAAGCTATTGTATAGCGAAACACGTGTCGTGGTTTTTGTAAAAACCCTTATAGTGAAAATCACACAACAAACTGTATTGATTAGTTTTTTATAATACTCGTAGTCTATACATTTTGATAACAAAACAAAATGATACATGTTATCTGATTTTTTTGTCAACAAAAGAATTATTATTATTCATATGTTGTACGGAATAACGAATTGGTAATTATTATTCTTTGAAACAAAAATTTCAAATCGATTGTAAAAGTAACAAAAAGGTCATATTTAAATTGTCTCGACCATGTTCAGCTTGTTTCTGAGTAACACTCACATAGTTTCCAGGAAATTTAGTCGGTTCTTCACTTGTTAGCAAGAAAAGTGAAAGGAATTTCATGTACCTACAATAATTCGACTCATGAAAAACAATCGTGTTTCTATTCACGCATCAGGAAGTACGACATGTAGAAAAACGAATGAGATGCTAAACAATTCTTTCAATAACGAAGATATCTTGTCTACAACACTATGACAAATCAAAGAAATAATCAATGACGTCATAATATCAAGTCTATGGAAATAATGTCTGAATGAAAAGTAAATTTTGGTTCAGATATACTCAAATAGATTTCTGGGTATTTGTCAGAGGGTGCTCATAAGTGTTATAATATCAACTATTTTTTCTCGATTACTTCAAGACTTGGATGAGAGGTACCATTCTGGTTAATCTGCAAAAGGCACAAGAGAGTATTGTTGTCTGTATTCTCAGACTAATTAGCTTCTAGAATGTTGTATTATAACGTTGCGTCGTTCCAATCAGGTTTATTATTATATAATTATTCACTAGAAAATTAATATTTCCAAATAAAATATCGAAATATTCATCTCTCCCGAATACCTACATCGTTCGTATTATACGTATACGTATAACAGTCTTCAGAAACGATTTGATCTCTGTTATATAATATATGATATTCGATGTTATTTTGGGAATTATCGAAGTCATTTGTGTTGACTGTTTCACATCTTCATGAATATGCATATAATAATACAATCCGCAAATACGTCGAAGATACTCGATTATACTTAGATTTTACAAATAATTCAATGCATGATGTATCTGTTTATAATTTTTGTATTTCATAACTCATTGATTTGATTAATATTGGTAAGGTTGATTATCATGTCATATTAATAATAATAATATAGCATCTATTGCCCAACCGAAACCATTTATAATACAATTTTTAAAGGATAGCAAATACAATATAGTAAGAAGTATAGTAATAGAGATACAACATATAAAAGATGACATGGATACAACAAAAAAGAAAAAAAAGATTATATGTATGATTCATTCCCAAATTGCTTATAGATGTGCTTTTAGATCTATTTCTTAATTCACTCTTACTGTAGTTAAAAATATCACACATATTTGACAATTTGTTAGCATTTGAACACATCACATCAATTGGTGCTTTAGACATAATATTTGTTTGAGCTCTTTTGCATTTAAAAGTGATATTTGATCTGGACTCTAATCTCGGCACACAAAAACATCAGCATTCATAGCCTTCAGTAAGTCTTGCTTCATCCTGTATTATCATGACCAATTCATCTGCATTACCCAGTGATTTATGTTTTTAATGGAAAACCAATCTTCTTTTTCATCAAGTCCTCATCTCCAAGACGCCCGTATAGTTGGTGTTCTGAGACGTCTTCTGTGACTCTCACATATGGTCAAATTCTTTGAGAAACTCTCTATCCTATAATTTGGTTGGGACGGTAGCCGGTTGAGTTGACGAGAGTGGTTTGTTCTACTCATTCAATCGACCGTCAGGTGAATCGGTGATTCGAGACGCGAGGCCGGACGATCGATTTTCACTGCCTATTGTCCAACCCGTGCTAGTAATCATACGTTTAATATTGAGACCTCGTTAATCCTTGTCTCATTCGTAGAGGGTGACAGGTGGTTAACGAAAAAAACATATATTTTGAACAGAATATAGTATAGCTTTGGATGCTACCTCGCTTAGCGAAACGCACGTCGAGAGAGTATTTTTTTTCTGGTTTCATTTCACAGCAGAGGTTCAAATTACCATCAATACTGTCTGGTTGTTGACAGTACCCCTTGAGCACCTCAAAAGTTTCGGGGTTATTAAAAAAAGGTCTGTTGATTGCCTTATATATTGAACACGTGACGGTAATATTGAACCTCGTCGAATGGCCTTCAAATTTCGGAAATGAAAGGGTGATGTTACCATTATGCCCATTTAAAAAGTGCCTGGATGCCTTATTTGTCATATAACGGCTTTTTTTGTGAGAACTTTATGAATATTTGCATCAACTGCCAATTGTTGAATCTTCAAAGGCCCAATTTTGTAGAGCCCTTTCGGTATTTCGATTATCTAAACTGTTACTGTACCATTTAATCAGCAGGTTCTAAAGAAATCAAACAGCTTCTTCGATGAAATAAGGATATACAAAAGCACATCGATATTGAATGGGATTGATGACATGCGCTGGATATATTTTATGCCTTAAGCATGCATTCGTGTATCCCCTCTGGACCAGTTTACTAGTAGCCCTTATTCATGGCGATTACCATCTGGTTGCCAGCATCTTGTTTCTAACCTATCCTGAGAGGGTAATTTTCCTTGCTGGGGTTTAGATTCATTTTTAAATCAATTCTATTCACGTGTAACAGTATAATAAAAAAAACGTTTTTTCTCATTTCCAGATCCTTACGCGACCATTTACAACACCACCTGCACGAAAATCTACAAGATGGACCAAAACGAGTTCAACTTCACCCTCCATTCTGGTGGTACCTTCACTGAATTCTACTCAGAAGGATACCACGAAGTTGACGTCGGTGATCTACACTCATACTGCGTCGAGCACTCGAAGAAGAACGGTTTCGAGGGATTCTTCTTCTTCTACTGTTTCCCGGAAAGCGACGACTCGTCGACCAAGTTCGACTACACCTTCTGGCCGATGGTGATGTCTTGCATCTTCCTGGTATTAACCATTTTCATTTATGTGGCGCTGAAGGAGACGAGGAAGATGTTCGGGAAAATTTTGGTCAACTACTGCATGGCGACGTTTTTCTCGTTCGCTTTTCTCATCGTCGCCCAACTGAATGATACTCCCACGGCTGAGGAGTGCCAAATCAAAGGTAGGTTAGGTTAGGTTCGATGTCAATTGAATCTTCTACTGCAACCAGCAGGGGTATACACCTATTCGAACTCCACCAAATAACTTCAATGCCCTATGGCGAGAATCAAATTTCTAACATTGAAAACATGATCAAGATCGCGGTGGAAAAGGCACAGAGTATGTGCTCTAGTCTGTCTTCCGAGTGTCCAAATTTCTTCATACGACTCAGATGACAGAGACCTCTAAGTTGACCTGTTAGACAACGTTTATCATTCTTTCTGCAGCCTAACAATTGTTAATAGGCATACATCGAATGTATAAATTCATTGGAAAACGCCAATATCCTTAGATTTTGCCAGAGATCTCTTCTTGTAGTCCAAATATTCACTGTTTGCTTGGTAAAACGATAGAAAAACCTCTTGCAGCGCCCTTCCTTGTGAATGAGCCAACAGCTCCATTTCTTCTCATCCCAATATAGCCAAGAATCCAGGCTAGAAACAATTCGTTATCTGTAGGTCCCTGGCAGGTCTGTATACATCAGCATTAGAATCCGAAGATATTTTTGATACATTTTTGAGCCATTTCTTAATACTTTCTCCTTTCGAAATCAAAGGTGAGAAAACTTTTTTATTGGGAAATTATGAAAGAATCACAAATAAAGATTATTTATCTCTTATAATTCTACGAGTTATCACATCTTCTACCACGGCATCCTAATCTAGTGCAAATAGTACGAATACTTAAAGGGCTTTAAATATTATAACAAGGTGGCCTGAGGAAGAAAGGTTTAGCATAAGCCGCTCTAAGTCGACCATAATAACATTCCCTAAAGATATTTAGAAACAACCACTAGGATGTCATAGGGTAGATTCAAAGTAGGTGAATCTATTCGATTCTTCACTGCAACTCACCAAATAAATCTAGCTTCCTAAGCAAGCAGATTGCTTTATTGGCAGTTGGCAAGAGTGAGACATCATTTTCTCGTGGAGAATAATTTATTCCAAGGTTGACAGGTCATGGTTCATTTTCTTCAATCTAATGAGGATCTGATCAGTGATCAGCCGTGACTACTTTCGTCAGTTAGGTAAGCAACACAGATGTGTAGCTGCAGCTATGCGAGACGCCCTCCAGGGCTGTAGGATACCAGTGTGCTCCCGCCAGAAAAGAAATGCTCTCCTGATCGTCTCAGATAACCTCTAACCATCCAGTTGACTCGTCGATAGTATGCTCAAGATGAAAAGTTCCCACCTCAGTGACTCCAGCAACCTTTCCGGCATCTGTAGCGTCTAAACATGACCTCTAGAATTTCAAAATGAAGATACAATTGTCGGGTGAAGAAGAATACCTGCGATACTAGATGCACATTGACTCACAATAAACATTTAGAAAGAAAAAAATGCGGAGATAGCACTGCGCCATACAAGTAAGAACACGCCTGAAGAAGCTATTATTTATTGAAACATATGTTGTGGTTTTGAAAACGGTTTAGTAAAAAGTTCACAATAAAGAGGTACTTGGATACGTATTGGTTAAACTTAGTAGTAAGTAAATCATGGCCAAAGGTGAAAACAAGTAACTGTTATCAACAAACTAGACTTGGAAACAACTGTAGTGATAAAAAACACTCCAATAGCGCAATGGATATACTTTTGAATCTACCCTCTTTACTTCTTATAAAATGGAAGAGTAGATCAAATTAGCCTGGAAAATCCCAACTAAAACTTTGGAATATGTAGAGAAACGAACATTTGACACCAAAATACATTTTCCACACAATCTTCATGGTGAACGTATGAACCGTAAAGAGTATATGATTTATCCCGGTACAAATATTTGCTATACAGAGATATCGAAAAGTGAACAAGTTTACATGCGGTCCATGTGAATGTATTACATACTGTAGTATTACAAACCTGTAATATTACAGAGCGTAATCAAACCCAAGGAAACCCGTCCAGCACCCTCAAGTATTTCGTAGATAGAAACTGGTTTCATACAAGATTGTGATTTCAAAGTTTTTGGCCTCTGGTTTCGTAGATAGAATCTGATTTTTTACAAGATTGTGGCTTCTATGTTTTTGGCCTCTGGTAACCTCCAGTTGCCTGCTTGCCCTGAAAGCTGTAGAGGAAGACAGAAAGCGAATCTCATTAGGTGGTCGAAGGAGGTTCGCTCGTTTATCTTCGTGATTTGAGTTTTTTAGATCTCATAGAGGGCGTGTTTGTAAGGGGTGGTGTCATTTTTTATAAATGTCAATTTCGTGTTACCTAGTATATATACCTTGACGTTTTAGCACGACAGATTGTGTATATTTTTATAGTATAGTTTACATCGGGGAAATTCGAATTCAACCACCCCATCTGAATTTTCATTCAAGTCATTCATTACAAATCTATTTGTTCCAGAAAAACAGTATCATATATTTATGAGTGTTTCCCACAAGGTTGGATTGTTAAGTAACTACCCGATCAATATTCATAATTTTGGAAAAATATGAGTATGAAAATAATAACTATACTCAATATTTGAGGACAATCAGCAGCCTCTTTGAATTTGATACCGCAAATACTTTCGTCTACAAACTGTTGCGCATATAGGCTTCTCAACTTAATGAAACAATCAACAAATAATTATGAAAATATCGATAAAGTAGGAAAACCTGAAAAAGTATTCCCATGTCATGAAATTTGATATAAACTCCACCAAACTATATCATAACCTCTCTTCAGGATATTACTAAGCTAAATAAAATACATCAGCTACTCAAGCCTGACAGTAATTCTAACCACAGATTCGCTTAATAATCTAGAACTTCAAATAACACCTGAAAGATTCTATTTTTACTCCACGAACCTGATTTCTCTCATAAATATATTCTAGCTGTCCACTGTTAAAAAATGTGCCGCCAAAGCAGGCCTCTTCTCCATTCAAAAATGTATCTTTATTTATTCTGTTAACAGTTCAGAAATTTCACTAGTTCGGACTTCCATTGTCTACTATATAAAATGATTTGAAATCCCTGTATATTTCCGATAAAAAAAATCGGTAGGTTGACTTCCGAGATACAAATCGTTGAAATTGTTCAAAACATGGTTGGTTTTTGTCGTAATTTTTTTTTGCAATTTCAGTTAATTGTATCAAGAAAACGAATGATTTTCTGATGAACATTTTATAGGAAAAAGTTGTTTGTTTTGACGAGATCCACCACAAACTTAGTTTTTGTAATGTTCTCAGCAACTTCACTTAGCGCCCTAGGAGATATGTAATATGCATCGATATAGAAAATTTTAAATAACTCGAAAACGATCACTTCCAGCGTTGTTGAGAAAGTGTACCATTTTTACTTGGAAAAGGTGTGGGAATTAGGTTTTTTCATGAAAAGGACCATACGTTTACTGTCAATTTGAAATGAATAATGTAGTGCACGCAGTGCCCTCTAGATGTTACATGAAAATGAATACGAAACTATGATTTCCGACGTCAAAAAACCCTGGGTACCAAATTTCGTTCAAATAACTTGTTTTTTGCAAAGGTTATTTTTAAAACGAACAAACAAATCAATTTCAACATCCTGTATCTCCGAAACGAAGCATTTCCGGATACAAGTTTATATAAACTGTTTTCCTAAAAATTGTCTCAGGAATACGCCATTTGAATATTTTAACATACCTACTTATGTTACACCTTGTTTAGGAATTCACTGGTTATCGAATAGCGAACGAAATAACACGGAAGTGAGACAAAGTGTACCAAATGATTACTTTACAGTGGGATGTAGAATATATATTCTATTTTTTTAAAGAGTTGATCTAATGAAAGAGTAGTTTTGTAAAGTCTCCAAACTTTGGCTCAGTAAAACATGCAAAATATCAGTTACTCAACCATAATAACACGAGAAATTCTTATGATTGGAATTTCCTGTTTCAAATTATCCTTGAAAATAAAATCTTGTAATTTTTTTAAACACCAATGGTTATGTCGAATATTCGTAGGTACTGTATTTTCTACATATTCATATGGTTTTGATCGCCACCTAATTTTTATTTTGTGGCATATACTTCAGATAAATAATTTCCAAGAAAATGACCCACTCAATAGTAATAAGATTTGAATTTCTGATTTTGATCAAGATTCATTGCGTAATGAAAAATTATACAAATGAAATTACTCCAAGCCGTAACGATCACATGTATACAACAACAATTTAAGTTTAATTTATTCTATATTTTCCGCAAACCCAGAGTCTCAACCAATCATGAAAATCTTCCACATGTGAGAAATGAATATTCATTAATTATTACGTACGATGGAAACGTGTTAATGATTTTATAATCACAGTGTCAGACAGCTTCCGAAACATCATTCAACAGACAATGATCAGTTTCCCAAATAGATTATATGTAATTAAATGACAGTATCTTTCCCATTAGGAGGATTAAAACAACAAAATGAATGATGTATGTACGGTGTGTATCCTAAAATACGGAATTAAAAAAAAATACTGTATTCAAAAAATATAATGATAAAATTTAGTAAATGTATACAAACTAAAGAAAATACAGATTGAATTATACGAAGTGTGTACTGAGCCTCAACCGTTGAAATATACTGCTTGTCGAAGAAAAATTTGTTAAAATAAAAAAAAGTTGATCATTTGAATGATGTTTTAAAATTCAGAAAATTCCATTGATTACAGGTTATTTCTTCCTGACATTATTCGAAGGAAAATCGAACTAAAAGAACATCGTACTAAAAAGTTAAAAAAAAAATTAAATAAGCTTAAAACAATAACGAACGAAAAATAGTAGTACCTATTACTGTGAAAAACGCGACGGTCGCTTGATATACAAAAAATATGGCACAAAGCGCACACGCTTTTATCACAATAATACTAGTATTTTTCGTTCGTTATTGTTTTAAGCTTATTTAAAAAAATATTTTCAACATTTCAGTTCGATGTTCTTTAAAAGCGTGTTTTTAATTTTTTTAAACTATATTTATTTTTCATTTTTTAGTTTCGTATGCTATAAAAGTGTGTCTATTAGTCTTTTTAAACTATATTTATTCAATCTAAACTTTGGGATCAATCAGCTGTATATTGTTTAGAAAAATGGCCATTGATATTTTTTGATTCCGGAGAGGCAGCCGAAAGGAGGGTTACAAATAAGGCAGCAGGCGCGCGTGTTAATAAAAAAATACTTTTTTCAAATGAAGAAATACATTTGAATTGAAAGGGTTATATTTTTAGGAGTGATTAATAAGTCCTCCTGAAACAGCTACTTTCATATAAACATTGAATTACACGAAAGAAAGAAATTCTTTCGAAACAAATACTTCTATATGAACACTGAATTATAGAGAAAATACTTATCTCTACTCAGTTTGTATTTCAAACATTCGTTGTGGAATAAAAATCAGATATCATTCACATGAGTTCTACTTTGAATGAATGGTAACCAATTGCACTTACATGGAACACTGTCATCTTCACTGGTATACATCGATGTTTCGCCTCAAGACACTTGCCCCAAGGATCTTCAGTACCAAATTGGATAACATCATAGAAAATACACAGAATTCATTCATGAATTACGATTTTTAAAGTCATGGAATAAGCTTGATCTGCTTATGTCATCGGTGACATCGTAATGACATTCATTCACCTATTTGATTCTGTATAATTCAGTGTTCATATCACTCCTAAAAATATAATCCCTTCAATTCAAATGAGATTCCTCTGGGCTGGGATTAAATCATTGCGTATGAACTATATGAACTAAATATAGACACGAACAACGGCAAATTTTCTATTTGGACGAAACTTGGTTTGACTCTCACGACACAGTTACGAAAGGATGAACTGATGGTTCCAGAATGTGTACGCCTAACATGCCTGCAAAAAAAGGATCGCGATTGATCATTGTGCATTGCAAAGAAAGTAATATTTTTGTGAAATGGTTTGAAAACACATTGGTCCCAAATTTGGATGCAAATAGTGTAATAGTTCTTGACAACGCTTCCTATCATTCGCGACAGCTTATCAAAGTACCGAATAAAAATTCGAGTAAAGATGAAATACAAAGTTTTTTTAATGGATAACAAGTTGTATTTTGAAGATAACTATATCAAAAACCAACTACTTGAAGTTTCACAGATAAAAACATTTGAAAAAGTGTATGCCATTGAGAGTATTGCTGAAAAGCATGGACACACCATATTGAGACTTCCCCCTATTTTTGTGTATTCAATCCCAACGAGTTGATTTGGGGAAAATTGAAACAAATCATCTGGCGTAAAAATAATTTTCCAAAATTTGATAAGGAGGTCATAGAGCTCGGTAAACAATTGGCAACTTTTACCTAATTTAACCGTCTTTGTATCTCTTACGGCTTCCAATTTTTCCATACTGGTCCTCCTTATCTTGGACACAGTATATAGTTAGTCACTTCATTATCCCAACGAGTTGATTTGGGGAAAATTGAAACAAATCATCTGGCGTAAAAATAATTTTCCAAAATTTGATAAGAAGGTAATAGAACTAATTAAAGAAGAAGTATCTAATATTACCGAAGAAGACTGGCAGAAAAGGATTAAAAAGTAATTTTAGTTGAAAAAGACTATATGGAGATTGGACACTTCCACTTGGTGGAAACCAAGATCAGAAATACTCGACGTACTGTGACTGCTTATAGTTTTGAGGTTCAACTCGGTACACCGCGAACTTCACTGTTTAAAGAGTCTTTCATCTGGAGAACTGCGTTTACGTGGAATAAACTTCTAGAGAACGTTTTTCCAAATGGATTTAATCTCCAGTGATTCAAATCAAATGTGAATCGCTACTTTCGCACAGACACCGCTCTTAGAGTGCCTGTACGTGTTATGTTTTGTCAAAAAAAAGTAAACAATTGGCAACTTCTACCTAATTTAACCGTCTTTGTATCTCTTACGGCTTCCAATTTTTCCATACTGGTCCTCCTTATCTTGGACACAGTATATAGTTAGTCACTTCATCGAAAAGTCTTCAAAATAATATGCATTCTATTTTACAAGGGGATATTCACATACTTATATCCCTCCATGGAAAATGAAACATTAGACTGTTTCAAAAATGTTGTCCGTTTCAATGTCTTGTGTTTTGTAGATTCATGTTTCAATAAATATCAATTCTAGTGTGTTGTGGTATATAATAATCGATAGAGAATTTTGTACACTATAGATTGATGCTGTTCAATTTTCTCCAACTTTCAATTGATGTCGTTGAGCGATTTTCGGTGATTTTTTCTCTACGAACCGAACCAAGGCGTTGCCTTAACAGCCCGAAAAATTAACAAGGTATTTGGCAATGATAGTGTTAATTAACGCACTGTTCGACGTTGGTTTGCAAAATTTCGGAGATATAGCTTCGAAGATGAGCCAAAAAGTGGTCAACCTACAGTAATCCAGGACGGGGATTTGAGGACCTTGATAAAAACGTATTGGAAGAGTCCGAAAGCTCGAAAAGTGGGAGCCCCACGATTTGAACGGTCGACAGAAATTATGATCCGAAGTCTTTTTTTCTTTGCTTTTGCGCTACCAAAACAATGTTTTTTGGATCTGAACGTCATGTGTGATGAAAAGTGAATCCTCTACGACAACAGGAAAAGTTCAGGAACGTGGTTGGACACCGATGAGTCTCCCAGGCACTTCCCAAAGGCAAAAACCCACTCAAAAATACCTAGGTCTGCTGCTCAGCGGTAGGTGTGATTCACTATAACTTTCTGCAACCGGGCCAAATCATTACAACAGAATCCCATCGTGGGGAAATCGACAAAATATACCGAATATTGCGTCAGCAGCCACCGGCACTGGTCAAAAGAAGATGTCCGATGCTGATCCACGACAACGCCCGTCCGCACCGTTCGAAAATTGAAGGAATTGAGCGTCTAAGTTCTGCCTGTTCCACCATACTCGACAGACCTCTCTCCAACTGACTACCATCTTTTCTAGCACTTCACCAATTGGGATCAGGCACAAAGGGCTCTCGTCTACTTCATCGAATCTCGGTCATGCAATTTTTTATGCTGACCGGATTAATCTACTTGTGTTACGTTGGCAAAAGTGCACTGATTCAAATGGCGCTGAGATATTACAGTTTGAAGCAATGTCATAAAAACGAACAGATCCGAGGTGCTGCTGGAAGGCAAATAAAACAGAAAATTATCATTGTTTCTTTTATATATTTTATTATTTGAGACAATATCATTGGAATCTATATAACTGACACATAAACCGAAAACTGATATTCAAACGAATAAATATAATTTTCAAAAATGTTTTGGCATGTTCCAGCTTTCTCCATAATCTTCTTCGCTTCTGCTTCTTTCACCTGGTCAAACATCATGTGCTGGGATATTTGGTGTACCTTTGGGTAAGTAAATAACTTCCTCAAATTCGATATGGGAAGATTTGATACAATTATTATAGTTGAAGAATTAAATGTCCAACATTGTTATCATTGGAAATAATGGAGAAAACAAACTTTGGATCAATTCAAATTATGAACAAACTAATACGGATTTCGGAAGAAGATGAAATTTGCAAACCCTCTAGATCTGTATTCAATTCAAAAATCTCAGGGAAATGAAGAATATTTATTCACACGGTGTATACAAAATAATACACATTTTATACGACTATGAAGTTTGATATTTACTGTCTTCTTCATTAGTTCTCATGTTTCAAAGCAAACATCCTTATTGCGTGGCGATATTATATAATGATTTGCATGTAATCAGTTTGTAATTAGTTTGAGATTGCATATTAGTAAGAACGCACTGAATGAGTCATGAAAATTTCGTACAAATATGTATTCATCATTTATTTATTCTCCACTTCATCAGGTTGAAACCATGAAAAACATACAGGATTCCAATATTTTCAATATCGTCCATTTTCTATCGAAATCCTACTAATTGAAGTAAGGGAAAGTATTTGAAATTTGAATTGTAGTTCAAAGTACAAATGAGTAGAAATCAAAATAAATGTAATGACTGTGTATAGGAGAGATAGCTAACTAAGTATTAGTAAAATGAATATTTCGAATAGAATTCAGAACATTCACCTCTCCCACTCTATAGTAAGAAATGGTAAGATCCAAAAAACAATTACTACCTTGGCTGATAACATGGTCATAGAAAGATATCAATTACTGCTTTGGCTGATAACATGGTCATAGAAAGATATCCTACAGACAAAACTTTTTCTCGCGGAGGATATTCTAGAAAAAGCTTATTCCTCATCAGTGGAGAACAGATATAACGAAGACAGCAGTGTGTCTGTGGCTCGACTATTTTATTGATCCCTTTCGCATATACAAAACTTTCAACTACAATGAACAAGTAAAAAGTTCCATTCCGCATATCAAAACATAAATTAAATGATATAGCAAGCGCCAAACGTGATGGCGAGCACGCCCCCATGCGCACCAACTCAATGTAACCCCCAATACAGCTCTTTAAAGACATACAAATGCTCTGTACAGAGGCGTATCATTATTATAATTTTAATTTCTACTTTATATTGAATACTTGTACTCTTATATTGAACTTATTTTTTTACCACCTTCATACACACATACACAAGTAGCTTATGCAGCTACTTCTGTGTTTTTCTGTGTTTATTCACCACTTATCCTAATTTATTGAGTTACCGTATTTTTAAATGAACTTCTTTTATGTATTTATATGTTGTTTCTACTGTGAATAAACCGTATTATTAACGTAGTATCCGCTGTTAAGGCCCTATCCTCCGAAGCCCCGATACATTCGGGAGGGCGCGCCAGCATTATCAACCATCGATCACTCACCACACCGTGGAGAAAGTAATCATTGGGTCCGAGAATCGTATGCCCTAAGCAAGCGCAGTGAGCCAAAAATGACAGCCTTCTGCATCTGTCCAGCTAAGATTTCTGCCTTACTACGGCAAGCCGGTATGATTATAAGATTTGAGATTAGAGAGGGCATAATTCCACCAAGAACTCCAATAATCAGAACAACCATCCTGACAGTGGTCTGGACAGATTCTGCGGAGTTCGAAGAGAAAAATCTCGATATTTTATCCCTTTTTCCTCATCTTTTCTGAAGATATTCGTCTCGCCAGGAGCTGAAAACTCCACGTTAAATATCGTTTTGCTCTGGTGGTCGAGAAGGACTACATCAGGCTTATCAGCTTGTCTGAGCCTGAGGGTGAAGAAAGAATAGTTCCAATAAATTCGGTACTTCTCGTTCCCCACAACGGATTCAATATCCCCCGGAGCGTATAGTAGGGCAACACCGGTGTCTCGTCAATACCGTAAGAGTTCCGTTGATGGTAATATAGCATTCTTAGGGCCGCGTTATGTCGATAGATATAGGCCGAGACCACATATGCTGGACATGTTGATAGCAAGTGCATTAGGGTCTCGGGCGCCTCGTGGCAGGCCCTGCATCTTGTGTCAGGAACCTCTATATCCATCACGCGACTGTGGTAGACCAATGTTTCGAAGACACCATCCTGGCAAGCCATAATGAAGCCCTCAGTTTCCAACATCAGCCCACTCGACCTGAGAAAAGCGAAAGTCAGGCGCTTTAATAAGCCAAGGTCTTCAATGTTATTGAAGAAGACCCCATGTATTGGCTTATCCTTGTGTTTCCGCAGAAGTAAGGTGATCTCTGCGGCTTTTATATGAGCTTTTTGCTGAACGAGTTCCAACTCGGTGACAGAGTTGTGGTCACCTCGTTCAATGTCGAAAACTACACCCAGTTCATCAGCTGCTCGGGCAGATGCCCTAAAGAGAAAAACTCCAATTCCTGCTCTCTCATGGTCACAGACCATTATTATTATTACTTGTCCTCCAATTCTGTTGGCGTTTGCCATTGGCTGAATGATTTGTGTTGTTTATGAAAAAATCTCATCACCTAATGAAAGTTTATTTTTGGATAACTGTATCATTATATAACATTTTATTGAACTGTATTACTACCTATAATACTAAATAAAATTTCAATAGAAATTACAAAGAAGTCATGTTCCATTTGCTACCCTAATTAAAACCAATTATAGGTCCGACACTGGCCGGCAAGAGGCTTATCGTAATCCAATAGTAATTTAGTTGGAAGAGTATATACCTGGGCGATCGCTCGCTCACGTTTGGCGCTTGCTGTATACTTATTAATTTTTTCCCGTAAGTTGCGATGGAAAGGCCCAGTTTCCGAAGCCCCGATACATTTGGGAGGGCGCGGCAGCATTATCAATCAACGACCACCCCTCACAACGTGTGGTAAGTGATAATTGGGTCAGAGAATCATGTGCCATGAGTAAGCGCAGTGAGCCAAGTCTTTTGCATTTGTCCTGTCTTAGCAAGCCGACATAATCTTGAGATTCAAAAGTAGAGATGATATTATTACATCAATGACCTCAATACTCAGAACAACCTTCTTAACGGAGTAGTCTGAATCCTTTCTTCTCCTCTTTTTGGACTATATTCGTCTCAGCCGGAGCTAAAAATTTACGACGAATATCATCTTGCCCTGATGGTCGAGAAGAACTAGGGCATTACCGGTGTCTTGTCAATACCATAAAAGGGCCGTAGGTGGTAATAAATCACTCAGAGGTCCATATTATCTCGATGAATGAAGGCTGAGACCGCCTATGCTCGACATGCCGACAAGTGCATTAGGGTCTCAGATGATTCCTATCAGACTCTGCACCTGGTGCCAGGAACCTCTTTACACATCATCTGACTTCAGTAGACTGAAGTGTTGAGGACTCCATCTTGGCAGGCCATCCTGAACCTCTCAGTTTCCGACTTCAGCTCGACCTGAGGAAAGCGACGGTTACGGGAGTTGATAAGCCGTGGTCTTCAATATTGGTAACGAAGACCTCATGCAATGGCTCATTCTTATGTTGCTGCAGAAATAAAGGGCCTTTTTGCTGACCGGGTTCCAACTCCCTGGCAGAGTTGTGATCACCTCGTTCAGTGTGATAACCTCGTTCATCAGCCGCTAGGGCAGCTACCTCATGTGATGCAGTATCAAATGCCTAACGGCAATCGATTCCAGCCATAAAGAGGTTAGGCATATACTGTATCGAGTCTTGCGTTACACGTCTATCGATGAGCAGGTTCTCTTCACATCCAGATACTCTTCTCTTCGACTCTGTCTACTCATATATCAGTCCAAATACTCGGTCAACTGTGAAGAGTATTTATGTGTATGAAAAACGGTAGGTTCGCGGAAACTTGCGCAAATAACTGTCAAATATGATTCAAATATCGTGGCATTAGCCAAGGAATAGTTGTCTTACCGCGGGCATTTGCCCGATGCTGCTGTCTAGAAATGTTTTGAATTTCAGTCGATTTATTTGTTTTCGTGATACAATATTTTTTAAGTAGCTTACAATTGAATAAGAAGTGTTTTCTAACAGGCTATCACCTTAATTTATTTAGTAGTTTCACAAATATTAGTAATCTATTACTTCGATGGAAAATCAACAAGCCAATAGACTTTTTGGTATTGATCAAGTGTATGGGAATTCCCTTACACTATATGAAATATCAGAGGTATTCCCATTGTCATGATGAATATGATAGATCATCTCATTTCATTTGTCCATGGCATATAATATTTCAATATATTGATGGATGTAGCCGTTATTACGTGGTAGGAGATCATTAAATAAAATTTTCTGTTTTTTAATACTTGTATTTGTAACTAACGTCACTACAGTTTCGTCCTATAAGGACATTTTCAAACGAATACTATGTAATAAAAGTTCAGTATATTTCAGTAAAAGTCTAAACACGTTTTGTTTTGTTTTCTTTGCTTCAATTCACTCTGAATAACTGAAAAAATTATTACTTTTTCAATTGTATCTTCATTGTCGAAATAAATTGTTAAAATATGAATTTTAGTGGATGGTCTAAAAATTGCTTGTACTATATCCAAATATTTCTTTGAAACGTTCTAAGAATAACATGCAATAAATACTCCATCAATAAGTTATTGCAGACATGAGAAGCGTTTCTATTTGATGAAATACCAAAGTTAATTTCCAATCCCATCAATATCCTTGGCATTTCTTTTCATGCCCAATAACACTTCAATTATAATCAATAAGGGACTCATGTAGTGTCTGAATTTTTCGATTACGAAACAAGAAGCAGAAGGATATGAAAATTTCATTCGAGAAAAGAGGTTCCTATATAGGGTGTTTTCTAAATGAGGAGAAAAAATGGAAAGGCGTATTCAGGAGCTAGTTTTATGAAAACAACTAATTTTACCTATACAAACATAGATGGCGGCTCGGGAGGAGTGGCGGCTTAGATGGAGCCGTTAAATGCCGACTCGGGACACAGTTTAGCCAATATTATTGTTCATAAAATGTACGCCACTGACGTTTCTTGAAACATTTAATTTTCTATAAAGATAAAACTTTTCAAGTCTTCGTAGCTCATAGCTACGTAGCTGAACACACCCTTACATTTTTTCACTACAATTATAAAACACCCTGTATGATATAACGATTGTGTGTCTATTTATTTTCAAACTGTGTTTTTTCTTTTCAATGAAAGATTATGAGTAGGATTATTGAAAAAAAAACAAAAAAATAAATGTTCAACCCTTTTTTTTGAAACTGACGGAATATTAGATTTAGCAAGTTTTTCAGATACCTCCACGGATGCTTATGTTTATTTAGAAAATGATACCAAACTTCTCAAGTTGAATATTTCTTTTTCCATTCTTCCTAAGTTCATTATTTCCTAATCTGAAGATTTATTGTTTTGTTCCAGGACAACAAGACTCTATTTAGGAACAACTCAAAGAAAAATGGATTTCACAAAATTATTAGTCTACAGTTTATATGGCTGGGGAGTTCCACTGCTTTTGACCCTAGTGATATTCGTTTTCCATAAATGGAAGGTGTTACCGTATTCCATACAACCATTTTTGGCGGAAGTCAAGTGTTTCTTTGACACTAGTAGGTATAAGTAATTATAAATTGAGTTACTGTTTATGGAATCCAATTCAAATCAGCTGACTAAATATGCTGTATTTACTCCTACAAAGTAGGAGTAAATACTGTAAATACTGCTGTATTTTCAGAATATATTTTACTGGCCTATAAAAAGTATCATTCTCAAGTTGTTTCTTCAATTTTACAATGACAATGGTGGATGTAATACATAAAAACATAATATCAAAATTTCAGAACGAGGAAATTACGCCAAAGATCTCTTCTACAACATTCCACTGCTTATTATCCAGTTGGTGAATATGGTTCTCTTCATAAAAACCGTGTTATACTGTTTGGAGGTGAAGAACGACATAAATAAAATCAACGACACGACCAAGAATGAAAAAATGAAGAGGTATCACAGCGATAAAGAAAGGTATTCTGTAGTAAATGATTAAGGCAATGATAATTTATTTTTATGCTTGAAACTAACTTTTTTCGCTGTATTGTGTCATAAATATTTTACATCTTCATTTACGTATAAGTATTGACTTTATTCCTATTATTTTATATATTTTTCAATTTCAGATTATTCCTGATTCTGAAGTTGTTGGTGATAATGGGAATGTCTTACATTTTCGAGGTGGTATCAGCATTTTTCGACATGAGTGAGATGGGTTTCATTCCAAAATATATTGAAATAATTTGGGATACAATCAATGCTTTACAAGGTAGGTATTATCAGCTGGCTACAGAATTCTGCAGAATTTTTTTCATACTTTCTAAAGAAAGAGGTTAGATTAGGTTAGGTCCAAAGTGAGTGGGTATATTCGACCCTACACCGCAAGGGTTTATTGTGGCTCACAACTATTCACACTCTTTCAAATAAACCCAACTCCTTAACGAAGCCGATTTCTAAAGAAAGAACTTAAACTTGAAATAAAGTTGAATTGAAATCGAGACCGAAGATATTTAAAAATAATAACTATGAATTATACATATAAATTTCGAAAAAATCCTTGGTATAATAATTTTTATTGACAACCGTACCAATTATCAATTTGCAATTAATTTTACTAAAAATATCACTTTCTCACATTTTTTGATAGAGGTGAGAGGTTCCCGTGACTACATTTGTTTTCCTCAAATATAATTGAGTAAATATTTACCAGAAGTGCAATAAAAGTGAGGTTATATTTATTCTCTAATTTGAAACACTCAATTGAAGGCATGGAACATAAATATAAATGATGCAAATAAAACATGGCATACAAATAAACTGCAGATGTTATCTCATAAGAACTTCTTATTCAAGTTTGAATTGCCAAAGTTAAATTGGAATGGGTAAGACGAAGATACAAATATTGATAAGCAGAATTCGGAACTTCTGGCGATAACTCCCGATGATGCTAACTTGGTTGGCGAAACGCACGTCGAGAGACAGCATTTTTGTTCTGGTGGAAGAAGAGTGTTTTCAATAGAGGATAAATATGTTCCTATGGTCAATATTATTTGACGTGCATACTCGTCAATAATTAAACAGCTAATAGGTTGACCTAGTAGGTTGACTGGTATTGTTGAAAAAGTTTCAGAACAACTAAACATTTCGGCAAGCGTTTCGACAACAAAGTGGCCAAATTTAATATTGATTTCATTTATCATTTACAGTGTTCAATTATTTTACAGGGGTCTTCATTTTCGTTATTTTCATCTGCAAGAGGAGAATTATTTTCCACTGCCTACGAAAGTTCAACACAACAGTTGAAAGAAAATCTTCGGATTCTTCATCTTTCAACACCCAATCTACTTTGCATGTCAATGGGTTTTCCCTCAATCGAATGGGACATATAAATAAAGGCTTCATGTAATTATTTTTTTGTGATACGAATGAATTTTCCAAAAAATGAGATGCATCACAAACACGTTACATATTTTTAAAACGAAAAGTGTTTGCTATGGAAATTAGAAAATAAGAATCAATTCAGAAAAAACTTTTGAGAAGGGATGAAAAAAAAATGTGCGAATGTGATTTCCCTTTAAAGCAATATGGAATGCTTCTAAGTCAACTGTATAAGCCAACTGTTTGAAGAAAATAAAGAAAAATATTAAATATTTTGAGGTGTTTTCATGATAATTCTATAATTTTCAAATCATAAAGAATTATTCAAACCACAGAAAAATGGTTCTAATTCTTAGAATAGAATTAAAATCAGATTATCATTAGTAGAATATATATGAATTGAATAGGAAACAAGAATATGTCTCAACAAGCAACAAGTATATTACCACCAATAAAACTGAGTGAAAACATCATAATAAAAAATTGAAAATGCTGAAAAATACATGCATAATCCCTATTCAAATATCTACTGAATAGATCGCGATCACTATGAACATATAATCGACATTTGCTTATCGTCGTTAACACAACTAGAATATGAATTCATAAGAAAACTAAAATTTTTCTCCTGTTCGCCTTTGAAAACAATTCAAATTCGGGTAATTCCATTATTTTCTGGGAAATACTTCACAGGATTGCTGTACAATATAGTAAATGAAAGAGGTAAAATTTCACTTACATGGGGCACTGTCATCCTCACTGGTAGAAGATATCCGATATTTCACCGTAAGTCGCTTTATCAGCTCTTCTGTACCAAATCTGGATAACATTATAAGAAAAAACACTACATTCATGAAATAACGATTTTATGTCACAAAATGAGTTTAATCTACTCACGTCATCGATGACAGTACCTAATAACATTCATTCGTTTATTTTGATTAAATCCCATCCATAGAAACCTGTATAAATTGAAAGGAGTATATTTTTAAGAGATATTAATTTTTGGGAAATAATGGTTTTTGCTTCCTACTTCTCCATCTTGATACAAAAATTTGTGGGAATTTTTCAATGGAAGGAAGCAAGCAATCAATTTCAAAAAAGTAACTCTATACATAGATGTGTAGATCATCCAAAGAAGTAACTTTCAAACACAAACTGGAAGATAAAGCCCTCTCGAAACAACTACTTTTCTATAAACATTGAATTAAACGAAAGAAAAATACTTTCGAAACAAACACTTTTATATGAACACTGGATTATACAAAAAACACTTTTCTCTATTCAGTTTCTATTCCAAACATTCGTTATGGAATCGAATCAGATATCATGTACAGGATTGCTACATAATAAATTTCACTTACATGGAACACTGTCACCCTCATTTGTAGACATCTGATGTTTCGTTGTAAAACTTTTGCCTTATTAGCTCTTCAGTACCAATCTGGATATCACTCAATTCATTTATAAAATTACCACTTCATGAAAAAAACAATATTTCATTTGTATTTTCAAACAGTTATCACAGCTTTAATGGGGGTTAAATACTTGTTGAAATAGGAATATTTCAACATTGAGACATGCGTGTTCCGTATTAGGTCTATTTTTTTTCAACACCGATAACTTGAATATATCACGTATTTATAGATCGTATTTATATATATATGAACTCGTCTTCGACAAATTTCACATCATCAATCAAAATGTCCTTTACCCTGTGCCATACTGAATTATCATGATTGAAAACTGAAAATGGATTACAAGTTGAAATGTTTGCGTTGTGCAAAAGAAAGCAGTATCTATGGATTCCATTCTTGTTTTGTGTTCTGTGTCACTCACTTCAAATCAAAACTTCAAGGTTATGATAAATATGGATTAGTGAAGTGATACAAAGGTTATGTAAGAAGTAAATATTCGAAAAATTAACGATAACTGAAAGAAATGTCTCTTAATCTGAGACGTAAGGTTCTCCAAAGCTTCAAACAATTACACAAAACCAGGAAATCCGTTTTCAAAGGCGACACGTACGCTCTCACCGAGGCTAGAAAGAAAATCAATGATGAGTTCAAGAAATGCAAACACTTAACTGACGTATCTTCCATACAGGAGATGATAAAATATTCCGGAGACGTTGAGGCAGAACTCCGGACGTGCGTAATCCAAGCGAGGCAGGTGGCACCAGGAAAATATCAAGCAGAGATCACTGCAGATACTGTGAAATTGGACAACATACCTTTTAAAGAATGCTGTAGTGATCAAAAGTAGAAGTTAAACATAAGTACTTTCGATAAGGAAAATGTTAAATTTTGAAATCACTGATTCGTTACTTGGTGAAAATCAATAGAACTATTCATAATTATAAGTTTTCACAATATTACTTACTTTATTTCAATATGCTTTTCACTACATTGTATTTTCACCAGTCCAACTGAGGAAAAGCCTATTGGAAATAAAGGCTATAATGTGAAGATTTGTTATTATTATTATTATGTATAGAAAAATGTTAAACTGTGATACATCTCAACCCAAGGGTTGTTTGAAAAAAAATAAATATAACCAATATGAGAAAACATAAATCGGTTTTATGTTAACCAGCTGTCGCACCCCTACGAACGATAACTCTCAGAAGTCGAAACTCGAAAACATAAATGTTACCGATATAACTGAAAGAAAATGTAACTGATTTTACAGAAACAATAATCACCATCTCTGATGTGATTTTCTATTGGAATAGGTAGTGTTGGAGTCATTTTCAATTATCTCAATGTTTTGTAGACCAAAATCTGTCTCCGTCTCTTCCAAATGAAAAAAACAGCCCAATTTTACAATTCTCTACTCAAAAGTTGTCTTAATTTGTAATGCTGCTCTTGGAAAACAGTTTTTTTGTATTTTAAGGAGATGAATAATCCATAAGTGAATTGAAGATATTCATATTTACACCCTCAAAAATTATTGTCTTGACAGTTTTTATATAACTACATATTATATATTTTCAAGTAGATAATGAATTTATTGTATGAAATAATTCTATAATATGCAGTTGGTTAAGGGATTCTCTCACGAATATTTCTACATTCAGAGTTATTCAAGTTGTGAAATATTGTATTTTGTGTGAGATATAAAACTACTATTTGGGCAAATATATTACAGCACTCAGCACTTTGAAAAAGATGTTCATATCAAATATATAAACAGTTATTAACACTTCTGACTCAACTTCACCAAAAGTAGAGACGTTGATATTTTTATTTACTGTACTGTATACTAATAAATAAAATTCTGAAAGTACCTACTGATTTGTTCATCTTCAACGTTAATTTGATATAGGTACATATTTGATAGCCGCAGTTTCTATTTAGAAAAAAAACTAGTTCTCAACTTTGAAATTCACCCTTCACAAGAAAGATTCCACAAATAAAGCTCAGCCACACAGAATCTAGCGAATTTGCAAATTTCGATCTTGTTTCAAACAATTTTGGTTTTGAAGTATATTAGCCTCCCCTGCCATCTAGTAACGAAGTACATAACTGAACTTTAATGCTGCCTCATTTCTCCGCTAGAGGTGTTTCGATGAATCAAAATGAGACTTTTGAATTACTTCCTATTTACATTATACAGGATTAGTTCTTGATAAATTATAGTGACATATTTCAAAGTACTACTTCCGGATAAACGAAGACTTCATTAATTTTCTCAAGGACAAAACGCAAGCTACAGGAAAATCCTTAAGGCGCTCTAAGAGCGGTGCCTGTGCGAAAGTAGTGAATCTCATTGGATTTGAACCGTTGGAGATTCATCGAGAAAGCCTTGAGAACAAAAATAACTTCAAGAACTTGAAACCATACAAATCGTGAAGTAAAGATATGAAAGAAGTTCTGAAGTATGAATAGACTGTCAAACATATATGTAGTCATCCATTCCAGTATGTGCAGCTCTTGAATCGTACATGTGGAATATACTCTACTGCACTCATAATGGCATACTTGATCGATAACTGGTCGATATCGAGGTTGTCGGTGTAAAAGCAGATTCCCACCTTCAGCAACCATCCCAAGGTATCTATGAATCAGCAATACCTGATGGTACATTCGTTTCTGTTTTGGATGAGTCATCGTTTGAGCATAGTGTTTGCTGACCTGCTGAGGGAGAGTACAAGGCAGATTTATAATATATAACAAAAAAATCTGATCTTTCTTTTATTGAATTTCTGTTCTGGCAACAATTTGAAGAAGTAGGTATAAATCAAGACAACACGGTCAAAAAATCTCCCTTATGTTGAAACTACATTTTTGGAAAATTGAAATGAAATTTTACAATATGCAAAACATCTTGCTACTTGAGTTCTTCGATGCAATTTTGTATATTTAATAAAAAAAAAATTCTAACCTAGAATATTTAATTGGGTTATAATAATGATAAATGTTGGTTTATCGACAATAGCAGATTTGCTTTCAATAAGAACTTAAAGGAAGAAACATACATAATACAATTAAAGAAAAATGTTTACAATGAGTGCTCGGAATGTCTCCTGCAGCTTTGAATAAAATTTTTTAGGAGATTTCTTAAGCATTATTTCGCATTTATTACAACATTATGAATTCGCTCTCGCAATTCTTGTTTGCTTTTATATTTTCATTCAGAAACACACTCTGTCATGTAGCTTCAAAAAAATCAAGAGAAGACCATCCACATACCATTCATCTTTTTTTCTAGGTATTTGTTACGTAGCGGGTGGAGTGTCATCTTACTGAAACTACATAATTCTGTACAATTTTTTGAAGGTAGGTAGTTCTTCTAGGAAGGCTGGCAGAGATATTTTTGCAAAAATTGTAAAAACTGTTGCCCGTCTAATCTGCCAATTACTGTCCCATGTATCATAAATAAGGAATATATTTCATTTGTAAAGAATGTTATACAATGAGTATTGTATAATGTGCGCCATGTTCTGTGTAAAGCGAGAATCAACTTCAATGAACCTGTTCAAAGATGAATCGATTGAATTCTAAGAACTTTTTTCGACTAATCATTTTAGAGGAAAAAATCGTTTATTTTTCATTCCATCTATAAACAATCTTTTGTTTAGTTTAGTCTGATGAACATATGTTGATATATGTATTTGATATATTGGAAATAAGATCGTCATTAATTATCTTGAGGTTCAACAAATTGTATGAATAAAATCACAAGATTTTTTTAAATACCAATAACAATTAAAATATTTCACTGAATTTTTAAATAGTGAATACGAGGTTATCAAGAAACTTTGCAAAGAAAGGAATTTCCATTTCTATTCATGAGTTGTTTCTATTGAAGAATAATTTAACGATGAGAATAGATTAAAAACTTATCATGTGAAACGCAATTTTGCGGAGTATTCCATATATTAGCGTGGCGAAATATAGCTGTAGCTAGCTGACCCGGTAAACTTCGTACTGCTTTAGAACTAGTAAAATGTTGTGCTGAGTTGGTGTAGGGCTCCGCGTGCTACAGATTGACGCTTGCAGCAGCAGTGAAACGACACATAAATGAACCCAACAGGGATTCCGGTGAGTGGCTACACTGATCTGTAGAATGGCGCTCCAGAGGAGGAAAAGCCCCGTCCTCAAGATCATGTCGCGGACGAATAGATCCGGACCTGCTTTTTAGCAGTTATTCACAGTTCGTTTTTGTCTCTACAGAAAGTTTTGTAGTGTTGTTAATGTGTTAATAACAGTACTCTCATGTACTATTAGCCATTCGATCTGTTTTTTTTCTAGATTTTTGGAAACATTTGAGTTTGATAGCGAACAATATAGAAGTGCAAACAAATAACAAATTGGAGGATAATTGCTAATATTTCTTCTGGGACCACCTTATCGTGTATTGATGTGTCCTGTACTCGTATCACTATTTCTATTTCACATAGTAGAACATTCAAAAGAAATATTAAAATCCTGTAATACTCAGAAAAGTCTTGTCAGGATTTTCTTTTAGTTTATTGTGTGAAAGAACAAATTTTAAATCTGTCCTTCTATGTGATAGCACGGGAGAAACCACTATTTCCATTGCTTACTAAAACTCATCGAGCTACAACACCAAGACGCGGCAGTAAACTGTTGCCGCTGCTAGCGTCAATCTGTAGCACGTGGAGCCCCAGCTGAGTTATCTTAACTTTTTTATATTGCACATTGAATAGGAAATATGTTTACAAGAAATCAGTTTTTTAGTGAGCGAAAGCTTTTTGGCTTTCTAAATCTCCATCATCAAACAAACATGTAGGAGAAAGAAAGAAAGAAATAAATTTCAAAATAAACTCTTTGCAGAGAAGTTTTTTTCAGATACAAACTGAAAGACATAGACCTTACGAAACAATTACTTTCACATGAAAATTGAGTTTCACGAAAGAAAAAGGTCCTTTCGAAACAACTTCTTTCATATGAAAATCAAGTGATTTTCGTGTAATGTGAAAATAGTTGTTTTATAAATATTTTTTCTTTGGAAGTTTACCCAATTGGTTTTGGATAATGATGGAGAGGTAGATAGGGGAAAAACTTTTCTCCTGCACACTGTCAGAGATAGCGGCGATGCTTTCGACAGATATTACGTTTCGTCGACGTACGGGTATTGCTCGATTGCTAGTAGAATAGTAGTACACTTTGGAAAAGATGCAAATTCAAGATGGCCGCAGGTACAAAATGGCAGAATACATATCACCTAAAATAAGCCACTAAAATAAGTTAAAAAAATTATGTCAAACGGTTCTATTGAAAAAAAAAAGATAATAATGATGTAGATCATGTACGTAGTATTTACATATTTACTCAGGTTAAGCTACGCAAAGATTTTATTATTTATTTTTCTTATGAATACCGCAGATTGCTGAGGAGAGTGGTGCGATGACTGCTACCTAGGACGTTCCCAATAATTTTTCAGTTTTTAATTCATTATCTATATCATTATTTTTTTTCCAATAAAACCGTTCAGCACAATTTTTTTATAAAGATCTAAACATACATAGGGACAGAGAGCGACTTTGTTTATACGATATAGTGATTGTGTTGAATCCTCGAAATAATTCAACATTATTCTGATTTTTGTATCGTATACGACACTATATTTTTCGAAAGAATTCAATATAGAAATCTTTATAATATACAAACATTTTTCAGTAATATATTGCACCTCTCCATGAAAACGAACAAATTGGTAATTGATGTCCTTTAATATTGAAAATTTGTTATCCCCAAACTAGTTTGAAACATTTCCCGAAACCACTATGAATACAAACACACACCCGGATCATAATATCTCCTCGGAAGTATCAAACATCCCGTAGATATCACATACCAGCCTCGTTGTTGCAATAATAGACTCATATGTATAATAATTAAAATAAACAAAAGCTTTTTGTTACACAAATAAATTCCAGATCGAAATATGAACAACGTCATCCGAGAAACATTCGGGATCAAGAATGATTCAATGTTGACCGTTCTCAGGAACAGAATACACTCTCGGTGGTGGTGCCTGTATTTTTAGAAAACATTGTTCGGGATGCGGGCCCATTTATTTTTTCTTCCGTTCTTCGTCTTCGGTGCCGCGTCTGATCTGCCAAAGTGTTGTGAGTACGATCAATGGTTGGTCGAGGAAAATCGAAGAGTTTTTTGTAATAAAAGCTTGAGCACTAGGGAGGCGATTCGAGCAAATACAACGCTGGACATAGATGCAAGTGGTATTGCTGAGTGCGTCGATGTCTTTCGTTCTGAGATACACATCACCATCTACAGCAATCACTCTTTTTTTCCTGCCACCAAACTCCACGCTTTCCCGAAATGCTGCCATCGCAACTTCTTTTACAACCCTCTGCACCACTCCTGCGTGTACCTGTCGAACAGAACCAACCACTACGCCAATCCTTACCTGAAAGTTGGCCTACCCCATTGTGAGAAGTTTGACCTTAAAAGCCAAAGGACAGTTCACCTTGAGATCTATGAATGTGAGCATCTCGAATAACTTATACAGTGCGGACCTTAATAGTCTCTCCGTTACATCCAGCAATTATCCGATTTCTCAAATCTTCCACACCTTCCACTGGAGTAGTATAAACTAATGACTTTAGGTGGCCCCATTGGAAATAATCCAGGGGATTTAAGTCTGGCGATCGAGCAGGCCATAAATAAGGTCCACCTCGACCAATCCAGCGATCTCCGTTTGTTACTGTTAAAAACTCTCGAGCCAATATGCTAAAATGCTAAAATTAACAAAATAATTATTGTCGAAATTTATTTTCTCCTTGTATCTTCTAAACAAA